CACATTCTACAAGTTTATGCGCACTGAACTGGGGTCGGCGGAGGGGTGGAATGCCAAGGTCGTACGACAGGGCATAAAATATTGCGAGCTTGCCTTTGACACTGTGATGCGCCGTGGTGAGCCAGTGACATTGATGGTTGATGGTCGACATGACTCTACCAGAGGCGAGCACCATTGCACTATCACCGCGATGGAGTACGAGACTCGGCTTGTTGTAGGTGTTCACACTCTCCGTCCGAAGATTGAAGGCAAGGCATCGAATGCGCTTGAGGTGCCAGCCCTCGTGCAACTTTTGCGAGGGCTGATGGAGAAGGGGTTGAAGATCCGGTGCGTTGTCTCGGATGATTGTGCCGTGCTAGGACCGCAGTTGCGAGCTATGAACATCGAGTGGTAGAAGGATTGCCACCACAAAATAAAAAACATTCGCAAGCACTTCCACAGTATGATGCAATTGAAGGAAGCGAAGAAAGTGAGCAACCCGCACGAGTGTGTGTCAGAGGCGCAGTTTATGCAGTTCACGAAGAAGCCGCTAAAGGAGGCGTTGGAGCAGCGTTTTGGACCTGACGTCCTCACACCTGTTGAGGAGCGGATAAAGAAATCAGATTTCGTCGTTGTCGTCATGCGAAAGATGTACCCCTACGGATCGAGGTCGAACGCTCGAGCGTTGGAGACTGATCCAGACGGCTTGACAGAGTATCATGCGCATGAGGTTGGGATGTGGTTCCTCCGCGCTTGCCAGCTGTGCAGCGAGGAGGGCGGAGACGCCGACAGTCTACACCGCGACATCATGTTGGTCGCCGATCATTGGGTTGGTGATCATTCGGGATGTGTCGACGGAAGGGAGGTTCTGTGCGAGAAGGTCGGTGGCCGTGCACGATTGCCTTTGTATAGCCGCACGGACATGGTCTACGAGCTCGTTCTGTGTGTTCTCGATAAACAATGCAACACTAACATCACGCCGTACTACGTCGAGTTTCGGCACACATCGGCAGTGGAGACTTTTCAGGGCACCATCATCATCTATGCGAAGAAGTCGGTCTATTTCGAGAAGTCTTACTGTGCACGTTTGTCGATCGCAGTGATTCGGTGGAACAGTCACTGCTGGCGCGACCCGGTCGAGTATGTTGCTCACATAGCTACGGGCACTTCCATACGCGCGAGACCAGGTTTCCGTCGACACTACGGTCACGAGGCGATCGACTGTTGGGAGGACAGATTGGCGGCGTCCGTGTTCGGTTCGGCTCATGTTTGAGAACAGGCTCAAGAACTTCGGCGACAGGAGGTTTGTCCTCATGGAGTCGGGCCATTGCCGCGTGATTTGTTTGTCAACGGTGGGGGCAACCCAGTGAAAGTCGTTGATGATGCTGCCTCTGGTTCCGACCATGAGGCGGTGGGGGAGAACCGTGTTTTCATCATCGGTCACGTGGAGGACGATGCGGTGCCTGCATGCGATGATTGGGTCTAGACATCGAGCTCCGAATCTGAGGGTGACAATATAGAGTTGTTCAGCGTTTGACTGGTTGAATGGCTTTATCGTTGACCTGACATCGGTCTGGTGATCCGAATTTCATTGAGCATGGCGTTGTTCACACACATCTCATAGTGTCTTGTTTGTTACGCTACATTATGTTATATATATATATATATATATATATATATATATATATGTGATTCTACTTTGTCCGTCTCTTTGCCTGTATATATATCTATTTTTGGTCAGTCTGGCTGCCAAGACTGATGGCGAGGTTGTATACTACCCCGTAGGGTTACATTTGTAATTTTGTTCGACTGAGGGCTAACCGTGAGACGAACCTGTGAGGAAAATTCGTGAGGGTCATATCTGTAAATATGGGAAATATAGGCCCAGCAGTATTTCGAATTTCCTATACGTACCCTTGCTGCGAATAGCAGGCCCGAACTACCCCCAGGACAGACAGGCCCTAATGGCCTAAGCTGATAGACGGTTCTATAGCCTATAGTCGGGTCCGGTAGAGGCCGAGAGGCCGAAACTGCAACGGTATTGGTCAGTTAGTCAGTCCGGTCTAGGTGTAGGTTAGAGTATTGTACTCTATTAGTAGAATGAGGAAAATCGATTGGGGAGCAAGGGACTGGAACAAACTCTGTTATGATATTCGTTCGAGTTGGCTCATCATCAGCATCATATCAATTGTGATCTTGCTGAGGTTCTTTACTGTGATTGTTTGTTAGGAGTCTGTCGGAGAGTGCGAGTCATTGTGTGACCTCCCCCATGTGTGCATGGTTGAATTCCGCTGCTTATCCTTGTCTGTGTGCAGTTTTGACTCTGTCACCTCCCCCCCTCTTCTTATGCATGTGTGGACGTGTTTGAGATTCTCTGTGTGTGAGTGCCGGAAAAAATCGTCAGACAACCAAGTGAGATATATATATGTGACAGACCTTTCTTTGTTTCGTTGATGTTTTGCTGGCTTGTGATGGGGTGTGAACCGACAGTCTGTAGAGTTTTCCATCTGGTGTGGGTGAG